TCCTATCAGCTGGACGCTTCACTCTTCACTCTAATCTTTTGTGGCTATGTCACTGACTCTGGGCCCAGGAGTCCCCAGGTCTTGTCACACTGCTGGCCGACCAGGTCTCCACCCGGGTTCACAGGAGTCTACTGAACATTGTAGGGCTTAGCTTGCAGCTTCATTGCTGTTTTTCCCTCACTTCCCCTTATCGGTAACGAGCATGGTCACCAATCAGAGCGTGTATTACCACTGAGTCTTAGTCTTGGAAGGGGATTTGCTTAGGGGAAGGGAGCAGATTTTTTACTGTATGTATTTTTATACTTTTTAAATTTAGAACCTTATAAGTTATTGTGTATTCAAAACAGAACAACAAATAACAGCCAAAAGAACCTTAAGAAAGGGTGTCCCTAATCTTTTAATGTCCTGATTGTTACAGAATAAAGATAAATGCACAAGAATTAAAAGGAAAGGCTATGTAAAAGTACAATAGGTGGATGATACAACCTTTATTATTATATCATGGAAGTCAATGATGCCCACTGCCTATTACTAAATATCAATATTCTATAAACTCATTCACTCATCTGTGTTTCCAAAGTCCACTGGTCCCCAACATGCATTTTGGATCCCATGATGGTAATGGTAGTTGTGTGCCACCGAGTTGGTTCCAGTTCATAACAACCCTGTATAGGGTTTCTGAGGCTGTATATCTTTACGGAAGCAGAAAGCCTCATCTTTCTCCCACAGAGCAACAGACAGATTTGAACTGCTTGGTTAGTAGCCTATCTCATAACCCACTATGCCATCAGGGCTCCTTTTGAACCCCATAAGAAGCTATAATGATGCTAACAGTCTTTGACCTTACTATATTTCACAAAGCTGCTCTAACTGAAATACAGAATCCCATTTTTTTTCAAACTGAGCATAACTGCATATCAACCAGAAGCTATGAGCAGCAGATATAAGTGTCTAATAAATACAGAAAAATGAATTATAATAAAACTAATATAATCTAATGAAAAGATAAAAATCTTCCAAACCATAGATTCTGTAAGACAGGCAACAACAGACAGCTGGGGTGTTAAAAAGACCAGGCATCATAGTAACAGGGGAGAGGTGATTTCAAGCTATAAATTGAGCTCCCACCTATCCAGGGAAGTGATGATATGCAAAACTCGCTTTCCTTCTTCTTATGTAAGAAACCTACCACGAAAAGGGTTCAGATTCTTCAGGTGTTGGGGCAGGAATAAGGCTGGAACCAACTGACCTCCCTGTATTTTCTACATACTCACCCTTCTCCGAGTTTTTCTAAGACATCAAATACTTCTTCTGGTTGCTTGGTTAAACTATCTTCATCCAACTTTTTCAGCTGCCTGTGAAAGGACAAATACACATATAAATGCATTTTACTTGCTAGCAACTGAAATGTGAAATACATTTTTATTAATATTTTAACAATTAGCATCCTAGGAATTCCCCTATAAAGTCTTTACCAGCAGACAACAACAAAGGCAAGCTAAGGGACGTTTAAGGGCACAGACCGCCAGTCTCTGGAAAGATTACACATGTTCTGCCCCATCCTGATGAGCAAAATCAGAACTAGAAGATGGAGAGCTGCCAAAAGGTACAACTCGTGTAAGAATCTTCTAACAAGAAAAAGTTGTCCTAAAATAGTTCAGACTGCCTTAAAAGGGCCTTAGCTTCCCATTGTAGAAGATTTTGAACAGAAAATGGCTCACCATGCACCTGAAATGCTAAAGAATAGATTCAAGCATTCCCGATCATCTTTCGTGTCCTTTCAAACTGGAGATCCTGTGAATTAAAGTAGCATAGCTCTCTCCTCCAAAAAGATGTTGGCTGTTTTTGTTAAGTGCCGTCAAGTTGATTCCAACTCATAGCGACCCTATGTAGGGTTTCCAAGGAGTCGCGGGGGAGTTTATATAAAGCTAATTATAAATCGAAACACAGACTTGGACTGGAGACCCAGGAAGATACGGGATACCCTTATTCTCCATTAACAAAATGTTGGGAATTTTATCAAAGCATGGAGATTATAAATAAATTCAAAAAGGATGAAAGTGATACCGAGAGATTTGGTACACGTACTACAAAGAAAAGAAGAGGTGGCCAAGGGACCAAGGAGGCAGAGATTGGAGGGGGATGCAACCACAAGTAGAGGAATTCTAGCAGTTACTAGAAGCTGGAGAGGCAAGAAACAGATTCTCTGCTAAAGCCTCCAGGAAGAGTGTGCTCTGCAACACCTTGATTTTGGCACAGTGAAAAAGGTAATGAACTTCTGGCCTCCAGAACTTTGAGAAAATAAATTTCTATTATTTTCAGAAAAAGGGAGAGGGTGTAGATTTATGGGTGGCACAGAAACAAGAAGTGGAACATACACCTTCAGACATGATCAAAAGTGAGAAAGTTAAGTAGGCAACTGGGACTTTCAAAGAGTCACTCAAAGCTTCTCCCATGAGCAGCCATGTACCACTAACTAGTCCCCAAAATCAAAGGTGTGTGGCTGCCCATAACACAGGCTAGAAATCATAAACAGGGGACGTTATAAATCACCAATATATATTATTTTTTAACTTTGGAAACGAAGGCCAAAAAGAACTACATTTAGCTTTCTATCTTTTTTATAATTGGGATTAAGGGAGTTTGCTAAGGAATAAGTCTCTGTGTGTATGTATGTGTGTGTGTGTATCTTCTACACAATGGCTTCCTGAAACTATAAAGAACAACAAAAAAAGTCAGCTCAGGAAATGGTGAAACATGGAAGTAGTCACACTGGAGATTCCTTTGTAAAAAAAAAAAGTTTAAACTAGTTAGACAATACCAATTCTTAAAAGAAAAGACTTGGATTGAAAAAACAGACGACAATATATGTATGTACACACACTACATGCGTACTCTCCTAAAGACAATGACAAACCTGAAGAGAAGACCAAAACACCTGAGCAGATCAACTAGTAAACACTGATCGCCAAAGGCCAACTACAGAATCATAAACGTCAAGAACTATGCACTAGCAAAACTGAAAACTAGTTTGAGTAAAATAGCTGCCTAACTTGAAAATTAGCACAACAAAACGTCCTGAAAATTAAATACCAATGACATCATAAAAACTCCCAGCTTCAGAATATAAAGGGCTGAAGTGAAACTCCTCTTAACCTTCAAAACTGAAATTTCTATGAATTCAGAAGTTAGAATACACATCTCATAAATCAGGGTGTTGGAGTTTGGTTTTCGTTTTGTTTTGCTGTGAAGCCCTGACTTATACTGTAAAAACAATAGACAATACCTCATTTCTCAAGTATAATTAAAGTTTCATAAATAGTTTACATAAAGGAAGATCAAATGTATTCCTTTGAAGAGTTGACTCCTGTGGAATACAAAAAGCAAAACTCATGATTTCAACTACAGAGACCACAGCCCAACAAAGGAAACTGCCACTGCCTTGAGAAAAGCAGCTGCATGCTTCTGATAATCCTCTGACAAACTTTACATGACTGCTCACATAGTCCTTTTTTAAAATCTTAGTGGTTTTTTGTTTGTTTGTGCTTGGCCCTGGGTTATTTAAAATAACCTGAACTTAAGGGACCTTTAGATCTGATAGTGGTGAGTAAATATTTGCTAATTGGACTAATGAATGCAACGATGGCAATCATAACTTCTATCAACAATTTTCAAACAAAGTAATATTTCACCTAAGAGTAAGATGCTTATGGAAACTCTTTGGATAAGTGCCTGTTAATGATAGTTTATACCCTGAGTCTTTATGGAACAAGTATTACTGAGAAAACAGGCCAACTTTGAGGCTGCAGCTTTCTCAGCTGGGACTCCCCAGATCCTATGTTGTTTCACCGCTTGCTCATAAATGAACGGGCCTGGCCAACAAGCCTCCATGGACCTAATACTAATAATGGACTCTCCTCCACAAAGTCAGATAACCATGTAAATGGCCAGCATCCCAGGAATGCACTCTACACCTTCCACCACATCATCATTAACAGCAACTCATATGTGACACCTGTCCATTCCTATGCAAGACACCAACATTAATCCAGCATTATTCACTTAGTCACACACAAATGTCAAACTCATGAACACAGGGACTATTTCCTGCCTTGGAGCTGCTAACCCTGGCTGGTATCGCATACTACCTGGATCCCTGAAAAAATACCTGACTCTTTCCCAACACCGTTTTCTCGCACACTTTTTTCTCCCAATTTAGAACTTGTGTTGTTGTTAGTTGCCATCAGGTCTCCTCCCACTGAGGGCGACCTTCTCTGTAACACAGGCAACCTACCTAGTCCTGCGCCATCTTCTTGATACATTTGAATCTATTGTTGTGGCTCTGGAATCAATCCAATTCATTGAGGGTCCTCATTTTTTGCTGTCGCTCTATGAAACAGGATGACTTTTTCTAAATATTAGTCTTTCCTGATGACAAGACCTTTGACAACATGTTTCTGTAAAGTTTATTTTATTTATGCAGACCTACCCAAGTTCCTTGGAGTCCTGGTGTGACACTGAGGGTTAATGCACTGGACTGCAAAGTCAGTTTGAATCACAAGGTTGGTGTTTCAAGCTTATCACCTGCTCCTAAGAAACCATATACCGTGTTGCTATAAGTCAGAACCAACTCAACGACACTTAACACACCAATAATCCAGGTTCCTTAGAGTCCTAGTGTGGTGCTCTAGGATACAGCACTGGACCGCACAGTCAGTTTGAACCTAAAGGATAGCAATTCCTTGGAAACAGGACCACTGCGAGTCAGAACCGACTTAATGGCACTTTACAACACCAACACCCAGGTCCCTTGAGTCAAAGTCGACTTGGTAGCAACTGATTTCATTTTATTTTTATCCCTCTTTCTACACAGAATTTGATATGGGTTACAACAAAGATGTAAAATAAATTGAAGGAGTTCTTTAAAAAACTTAAACTGTGCCAGCCTACTCGTTATGATGACCAAGAAAGCACTAGTCTTCAAGAACTCAGTCTTGAAAGCTCTTCTCTAGCAACTGCAATTAAAAAAAAAAATCCAAACAGCACAGAATGAGCATATCAGAAAGCAAGAAAAGAGCTTATTCCTTAGCCCAAGATTACACAAAACAAAAGCAGAAACAAAACCCAGATTCCTAATCCTCTTTTCAATTAAACCAAGGCCCTGCTCTCAAGGAGAAACCACATACATGTTACAGAAAGAAACACCATCACTGAGCATTGCTCATTAAGTCTCTATGGCGCTATGGTACTTCCAAAGTACTGGAGTGAGGCAGGAAGAAAATGGACTTTGGACTAGACTTACTGGCTGCGGATCTCTGGCAAGTCACTAACGTTTCTATACCTCAGCTTTATCATCTAGAAAATAAGGATTTAGAGATAAATCCCTTCAAAGGACTGTTGTGAGGATTAAATGAGTTAATAAAACATGAACCATATGAAACTATTTTTATAGGTCAACACGTCAAAAATCAGCAATTTCATATGGTTCAACGAAGAAAGCACTTTGAACACCTATCCACTCCTGTGTTGTGCTGTTATTGTGAAGTGCCATCAAGTCAGTTCCGACTCATGGCGACCCTATATAGGGTTTCCAAGGAGTGACTAGGGAGTTTGAACCGCCAACCTTGAAATTCAGGGCATTAACCCACAGTACCACACCAGGACTCAGATGTGTGATCAGCATTATTATTATAGTCTCAACAACGGCACTAGAGTGAATTCTGAAACCTCCCTTCCAACAACCCCAGTCCCTTCCCTTCATCTCCTAACTGCCCCTGCACTCCCACACACGGAACACTTCCTCCTTTAGTGATCTTTCGGCTGCAGGAAGTCAGAGAGCTGTGTGAAATAGAAGAGACGTACACTGCCCCTCAGAGAACTGTGACTCTCAGTTTCCACTGCCGACTTTTCTTAGTGCCACAGAGTGACAAAACAACCCGGTGACCACAGAACAAAACAATGATACAAGTGCAACCAAACCCCTGAGTTGAAACTCTCTGAGATCAGTCACCTCCCTGATCTTGACCCTAAAGACAACTAGAGCAGAGGACAGAAAAGGGGACAGCCTAGCTGAGCCCAGTGACCCAGACTGAGAGCAAAGAAGGAAACAAATAGGGCCCTGTCTCAACTCTTCTAGGTCTGTTTGCCCATCTTGACAATAGCCCCATATTTCCTGACCTACCTCCCCAAACTGGGTTTTGAAGGGATACGGAGGATGAGAGGAAAGCACTCTGGACATCAAGAATGAACGCTGCCGGGACACCACCAAAAGCATCCTCCTAAATGCCATCCTGCAGGAACTCTTCCCAGCTAGACCCTCACACCTGTCTTCCCACGCCTTCAGCCTTAGGGGCAAAGCTTTCCCCCTCAATAGATTCAACCCAGTGGAGCTGTTCAGGTGGGATTTCCTGGGATTCCTAACACCGTCCATCCAGTACTCCTTTGTAAAGAAGACTAACAACTTCTTAGACAGAACCCTCATGAGTTCTTACCCTGCTTCAGCACCCACCAGTCCCCACCCAGCAAGTCGTCTTGAATAGCCTTCCCCCAGGAGACCCTCGTCCTCAGCAAGTGTTCCTCTTAACTTATCTTCACATTTATCCTCCTCAATGGATGCTCCGCTCAGCCGAACCCCACTTTCCAGAGAACCCCCACTCCGTAAGTGCCCCCAGCAGACAGGTCCCCCGCCCCGCCCCGCAGGTCCCTGCTCTCCGGGGGCTCCCACACAGATCTCTCTCCGCAGCCAGCTCCCGCCTTTCTCCTGCCCCCCGCGGGTGCCATTCCTCTAAAAGAGGGACCCCTTACCGGCGCGGCGGGTTCCTCAGCTGTACCGTCTCCATGGCGCTGCCGGCAGCGGCCCGGACCGCTCACTGCTCCATCCTCCCCCGGGACCTCCCCAAGCCCGCCCCACAGACCCTCCCACACTTCCGCTTTCCGCCCCTACCGGAAGCGGAGTGCGCGCGCGAGCGGAGCGCAGCGGTCAGAGGGCGGGGGAAAAGAGGACCTGGATCACGTGGTACGGGTTTTAAGTCACGTGGCCCGGCAGGGCGCGAACACTCAACAGCCCTGCTGAGGCCCCTTCTTAGAGCTGCAGCCACGGTTGAGACTGTCGTTGACGTTGTCATTGTCTAGTAGCTGCGCCGTTCGCCCTAGGCACTCGGCCCCTGATTGGGAATCTAGTCCTGTTCTGATTCTGGTCTTTTGCTTGCTTTGTAGATTTTATTTAATCATCACATCACGCCTGTGATTATCCTTGTTTTTACCTACTTTTATAAATATTCTGGGGGAGCCCTGGGTAGTTAATACAAATAGTTAAAGCACTAGGCTGCTAACTAAAATGTTCAATGGTGGTTGGAATTCACCAGCGGTGCCTCTCGGAAGAAAGGCCTGGCAATCTGCTTCCAAAATCAGCCATTGAAAACCCTATGACGTTTTCAGCCATAAGCCACAATTAATTGATAGCAATTGGTTATAACTATGAGGGGATCTTCAAAAAAAAGTATTCTGATACAATTTGATGAACGTGACCTACACCTATGGAAGCAGTAGCTCAAAAGAGGGGAACAAATCCTTACAGCAAGAATCATTCCCACCCCCTCCACACACAGAGTAGACAGGGATGAGCAACTTGGACATTGGCTGCCCAAAATGGGGGGGAGGGGGCGCTACAAAGGCAAGAAGTGACTGGCTTACAAGCTTTCAACAGGGAACGTAGATCCAGAAGGCCTGGAATGAGGTAGAATCTCCACTGAGTAGTATCCAATCTGTCTAGGCGGGGCTGATGAAATGAAATGCAGACAGGTCTCTTGTGATACAATAGTGAATAATTGTTATCAGGACTGATTGTGAGGGTTGGAAATGTAAAGGTAGACATTTTATAGCAAGGAGGGGAGTGATTAACTTTCCAATCTAGGAGCAGAGGTCCCTAGGACCATCAAGGGAGAAGAGTGGAGAGCGGGACCCTACCCAGAGAAGCACTGATGCCTGAGATGGAGGCAGAGAGGATGACATGGAGCAATGGAGCAGCTGGGGACTTTAGATTCAGAGAGGAAGAGGGACTGTGTGCTGAAGACCTGGGAGGTGTGAGGGGCAGAATTGCAGGGTATACCCTTTGGTTGGTTGATGATGCATGAAGGGGATTGTAACCATGGCAATGAGACAATATATGACAGAATGAATGTAAAACTAATGTTCTCCCCTGTAAACTACCACATAATTCACAATAAAACACTTAAGACAAAAAAAATTTGGAGAAAATGGAATAAAAATGGAAAATTTCCATGAACTTTTTAAAGCTTGCTCGTATTTGACAAACAGTGCTTATGGTATTCTCTGCGTTGTACTAAAATTAAGTAATGTAATCCTCCTAACGATGCTGTAAATACTACTGTTAGTGCCATGGAGTTGGTTCTGACTCATAGCAACCCTGTACAGGGTTTCCGAGAAGCAGCTAGTGAGTTTGAACTGCTGACCTTGCATTCAAACCGACCTTGCAATGAATGTAGTGTTTACCCTTAAGCACCACACCTCCATTGTACAAGACTGAGAAATAAAGTATCTTGCTTCAAAGTCAGCTAAAACTTGAAGTCTGGAGTTACGAGCCCAGGTCTGTCTGATTCCAGAACCTGCCCACCAAACTAAATAACCAGTGATATGTATCTGGGCAAGAGAGACAGACCTTCCCCTCTCCTCAGAGTTCCAGTTCCAGATATTACAATTCAGAAATAGTTGTTACCACCATCAGTATTAGGAAAATGATAAGAGTCTTTTCAATTTGCCAATGGTAAAAGTTAGAGAAGAAAACATCCCCAGAAAAACTCTCACAGGTTTCCTGTTTTTTCCAAAGGTATACCATCTACAAAACTTAGCACTTGAACAATACCCTCCAGGGCCACACAGGTTTGGCACTCCAGGTGCAGAAAAGCACCAGGGGATAGTGGAGCCATTCTTCTGATGCTCAGTGAGAAAATCTTTCCTGAGACTATATGCACATAAGGAGCTCTGGTAGCGTAGTGGTTACGAATTGGACTGCAAACCACAAGGTCAGCAGTTCAAAACTACCAGCTGCTCCATGGGAGAAAGATGAGGCTTTCTGCTCCCGTAAAGATTTACAGCCTCGGAAACCCTGTTCAGGGTCGCTATGGGTCGGAACCTACTAGATGGCACTTAACAACAACAACATATGCATATAATGTGCCAGGCACTGTCCTGAACCTTGACTTAATCCTCGAAACAAGCTTATGAAATAAGAACTATTATCCACAGTTTACAAATTAATTAACTGGGAAGTATTTGAACTGAAATATTTTTAAATATTATTGAATAGTATCTATTTATATTGCCCTATTAAAATGACTACATCTGTTACAGCTGTAGTTTTCCCAATAGAGCTGATTACATTGGTCTTGATGAGATGGTTAACTATGAGGGAAAAATCTTAATAAAGTGTAAAAGTCACATTCTGTCAAAAAAAATGCCAACAACCCAAATGTCCATCAATGGATGAATGGATAAACAAAATGGATATACAATGGAATATTATTTAGCAATGAGAAAGAATGAAATACTGATACATGCTACAACATGGATGAACTTTGAAACATGAAGCATACAAGAAGTCAGTCACAAAGGACCAAATATTGATGGACTTTTGCAAGATGGCAGATGCACAACATGGATTATAACCTGTTATAACTGGATTTTTGTTGTTGTTGTTGTTGTTGTTGTCAGGTGCCATCGAGTCGGAACCGACTCATAGTGCACCATGGATTATAACCTGTTAATTTCCCCAATAAACCCCATAACTCATCACCCTCATCGCTACGTCATCTGAGGAGGGCAGCTCGGAGCTGAGATTGGAAAGACTACTCCAGACGGTGTTTGGGGCCATGAGTCTTCTAGTAGGACTTGAAGAACTGACCAATATCCGCACCATAGAAAGACTAAAGGAGGAATTGAGGGCCAGTTAGCACCTCACTGACAGCTTCCTGGGGGACTCTGAGCTCATTGGGGACCTCACCGAGTGTGTAGACTGTGTGGTTCCTCTGGAGGGGTCCCTCCCACAGGAAGCTCTGTCCAGCTTCGCTGAGGCCACCAGCATGGGCTTTGTCAGCCTGGTGGTGTCGGGCCATGTGATGGTGGCCACTGAGGGCTGGTGGCGACTAAGGATGCCCGAGGCCGTGCTGCTCCCCTGGCTGCTGGAATCTTTGCCACCGCACACCGCTAGAGACTACCCGATGTACCTTCCGCACAGGAGCCCTACGGTCCTGCCCAGGCTCCTGACCCTGACGCTGCTGCCAGGCCTGGAGCTATGTCTGCTCTGTGGGCTGCGACCACCACTCAGTCAGCTCCTGGAGCCGTTGGTGGCAGTCTCTACTGGAGTCGCTTTGGGCCTGTGTGCCACGGAGCCCCCAGCCTTTCCCCCTGCCTTTCCCCCTGCCTTCCCCCTGCATGCAGACATCCTCAGGCTGCTGCTTCTCCACCTGGAACTGAGACGGTGACTGCTGACCGTGGAGCCCTCTGGGGACAGATAACTTTCCACAGAGCAATGGTGACACCTCCTCCGCTCCTTCTACACCCTGTCACCTCCACACACTTCCCACCAGAGCCAGGGTCACAGGAGAAGGCAGAGAACAAGGCCCAACAGGCGCACGTGCCCAGAGCCTGCTGGGGTGGCGGCTAGTGGCTCTGCAGGTGGGGCCTTGCCGTCTGCTATTACTGCTGTCCCCTCAGAGCCCCACCCATGGGCTGCGGAGCCTGGCCACTCATACCCTGCATGCCCTCAGCCCGCTGCTCTGACCCCAGGTGTGGGTGACTGAACTGGACACAGGCCATTAGTGTCTCTCTGTTTATTCACTAACAATAATACACAGCCCCTGGGCAGGGAGGGGTGCACACTCCCTGGTCCCTTTCCCCTCTCCCCCCTGTGCCTGGAGGGAAAGGGAGGGAGGGAGCTTCCCCTTACCTGCCAGAATGTGAACAGCAGCAGACGAACAAAAATAAAAATACAAAAGGCCAGAGGGAGGTCCCAGGCATCCCCCCCACCCTGGGGTCTTCCCTGTCACCAGTGGAGGTCCCCTTGCTGCCCTACCCACCAAAAAAAAAAAAAAAAAAAAAAAGAAAAAGATACAGATGAAAATTCTGGAAGCCTGAACTTCAGAGAAAAGATTAGTGAAGTGGACTGAGTGCTTGCTGGGAGGAAAGAGGGAGATTGACTTGTGAACAGCATACCAGATGTGGCACATCCATCTCGTGATCACCTTTGGCAACAGAAGGAGGCCTAGAAGAGCAGATTCACACACAGGAGTCCTTCTTTTCCCCCATGCTCCTTTGGTGACTAGAGGTATAGCCAGCTCCCACCCTCATCCAACCCCAGCACAGACCCAACTAGCTGTCCAGAATTTCAGAGCCATGCCAGTATGAGGTGAGGGCTGACTTTACCAATTTGGTGCCTGGTCAGGTGGGATGGGATCAGCTCTACAACTACCGAACCCACAGACTCACCAGACCAGCATTTAACCAGTCACCCTGCCCCCAGCTGCCCTATGGGTCTAACAGAACCTGAACCCAGTTCCATCAAGGGCCTCTGTGAACTAATTCCAGATTGAATGCCCTGAACATAGATAATACTGAGGCCAATAGAAACTCCGCTGTCACATCCCTCCCATACCCACCTTGTAAGATCTATGGCTTGCAGGAGCCCCAAAGGGTTTCCAGCTCCAGATCTAACAGCTGCACTGTTTTATTATTGTTTATAAGTTTTGATTTTTCCTTTTGTTGTTTCATTGTTTTTGTTTGTTTATTCTTTCTCCTCCTTCTTCACTTTCTATTCCATTGAATTTTATCCTTTATCTCTGCTTTTGTTTTTCCTTTTGTTCTTCTGTTTCCCATTTCCCCTCTTAATTTCCCC